TGTTCACAGCAGGGGCTAAGTAGATGCCCCCACTCTGATCTGATGAGCCCTCACAGCCTAGATACCTCGGGAATCCAAAAAGTTCCATGGCCCCTGTTTGGTGTTCCTGACATTCTCTCATTGCTCTCCAGGCAATGCCAAGGCAAGGTGGGAGGAAGGAGAACCCTAAAAGATACAGCTCCAAATCCCAGGCCCTTATCCCCAGCCCTACAGTTCTAGGGTCGACCCACACTTGCCTGTCACACTTAACACCTGACCTAGCTGGAGCCCGGTGTCAGGCCTCAAAGGCAGCAGCCTTCTCATCTTGGTCCCTTGGGCCAGCTTATGACTTTTCTCTGTGACTTTTAGTGATTCCTACTGCCCAGCAAGACTGGACAGAGCTGGCGCCAAGCCAGCAGGGAGAGCCCCAGGCCAAGAGGCAGCAGCTTCCTTCTTGCTATGAGACCTTGGGTCCCACATGGAGGCTCTACCTCACAGGGTCATGGGGGCATATATTGAGCCCCCAGGGAAGAATGTACACCTCTCCTCTCTCAGGCCCCAGGATTGGACCAGGCCTTGAAGATCAGACCTTTTCCACCATCCAGTACAAAGAAGCTTCCTTCTCACTGACCAGTACAGTGTGAAGGAAGAGATACCAGGCCTGGGACATCCCCAGGACTGCACTCAGTGGGCAGGTAGAGGTACCAGGGTCACTGCTATCCTACTGGATTCCTCACTGCAATCATACACCAAGGAGGAGTCGCGACACCCATAGGAGTTGCAGCCAGTTAACAGGCCAAGCAGCCACAGGCCTGCCCCCAGTTCCCTCTCACTCCTGCAGGCAACAGTCAACACTCCTGGCACAGCAGATCTCCAGGAATTCAAATAGGAAAGATTTGGAAATGTTTTAAAGAAATGCAGTTCTTCTTTTTCATTCTTTTGATTGGTATGCAGCAACAACAAAGGCAGCAATGAAATCCAATTCAATGTAGCTAACGTGACCTTGGAATCAGATATGCCTTGGCTGCCAAGATTGAAGCAAGCTCTCTTGGGGGGGGGGGGCTTGGGTTGATTCATCTGCAGAATGGGGATAATACCAGGTCATGCTCCAGAGGATGCTGTGACAAGACCATGGGTCATAAGACACACAGTAGGATCATGGTAAATGGTCACTTACTATTGTTACTTTCTATCCCAACAGGCTTCTCGTTTCGGTTTCTAATAAACATGTAAAAGTGACATGAAATTAGCTCACCTATACAGCCCAAGAGAGAGAACTCTTCCACAGTGATGTGATATATAAAAAATATTTTGCTAAGCAATTTTTCTCACTCATTGTGAAAAGGCAAAGTTTGACTCCCCCCATGAATATTATGAACAACTTCTGACTAGTGGCTATAAAAGAATCTGGAGAAGCAACATTCATCAGCCTTTCTGGAAACAAGGTGCGTGTTAGGTCCTATAACCCATGTCTTCGTGTAGCATTTATCGTACCTCTACCTGACTTCAGTAGAATTTACACACTGACCTGATTTCTGGCAAAAACCATTTCATGTCATGTTGGTGAGCAGCTCCTCCTGCACTCTCAGTTCCATGGGACTCGGCAAACCCATGCCTTGATTCTCAAGGGGGCATCCTAACACCATGTAGGCAGAGTGATACAGAAGACTCAGCTGGAATTAGCAGGAACAGATAGCCTGGCACTGCTGGAGCCCCTTGATTCACCACAGAGGGGCTCCATCTGAAAACAAAGCTAACACACAGGAAGGCAGAGAGGCAAGAGGAAGCAAGGGTCCTGATGAACTGGCAGGAGCGTCTGGATCCAGCCACACCTAAAGATTTTTCACCAGGTGTACTTTCTGTTTAAACTGACGTGAGCTGAGTTTTCTGTTACTTGTAACTAAAAGGACCTTGACTGACACTAGCAGATAAATTAGAGTTCCCTTGTACTAAATAGATTAGGAGACCACTGCCAACATAATAATAGTTACTACCGCTTTCCTTTAAAGCAGAAAGATAGTCTCATGTGTCTTCAGGAACAGGAAAGCAGATGAGCAAATATGTGTATCCCAGGCCAAGGGACAGAGGAAAGGATCTATGGCTCTTGGGAGAGACGATTCCCACACACGCATCTAAACTTAAGCGGTGGGGGCCACTGGTGCCTGCTGTAACCCTGCACATCCCTTCTGCACCATGGATATCCACATATTTGCCTAGGAAGCTAGTTGCACAGGTTCTTCAAAGATCAGTTCCACTATCCTATTTGTGTGGGGAGTACTGGATTACACAGATTTCTTYATTATAGAACTTAGAGATCCTGTTAGGCACCATAGACCCTCCCAAGGCAAATGCAGCTGCAGGCTCTCCAACTCTGCTTTGTCCAGTGAACCCCATTTGCTCAGAAAAATTTGCAGGACCTTGAAGAACACTCTTGGGAGAAGAGGGGCTGCAAAGCTTCGTTTCTCAAAGGGTGGTCCAAGAACCAGGAACACTRGCTTGGAAACTTACCAGAAATAGAGAACCTCAGGCCCCACCTCAGAGGAGCTGGAACCCAATTGGCAWGTTAACAAGATCGGTACAACCTGACTCACCTACTTTGGTGTATTTTAGATACCTATCAAGGAAGAGTCCCAGCAGCAGAGGAGGGAGCTCTATGTAAAGCAGTGGTGAAAGTCAATAGTTGCTTGGTCAGTTAGGCACAATGAGAGGGAGTGCCCAGAAATTGATTCCTCCTTTTATTGTATCTTAGCATCTTTCACCAACCCATATTTGGGAGCACTGTGGCAGAAGGGGTCAGACAGATCCAGGTCAGACTCCCGCCATCACTGGCTGTGTGGCCTAGGACAAGTTACTCAACCTCTCAGAGCCCCAGTGCTCCATCTGTGAACCAAGGACTAGGCTACCTTCCCTATAGGGTGAATGGAAAGACCAGAGGTACAAAGTGTATTTAAAAMAAACAAACAAACAAACAAACAGGTCCTCCGTGAGTGGACCTATCACAGAGGCACAGAAGGACCTAAAGGGTTAAAAAAATTGATTGGCACAAATCAGAACAGACACACACACACACACACACACACACACACTGAAGGAAGAAAAGAACTAATGATGCTGACCCACTGTCTCAAGGCCATTATTCACTGGCAGCATTCAAAGTTACTCTGGCAGGACCCAGTATTCTTTCTAACACTGTCTTGTACCTCTGACTGAGTATGTCTAACACCTGAGACATCTCAGCATGCCTGTCCTTCCCAGGCCAATTCACACCTGGTGCCTCTGCACATACTCCCCTCTCGGACCAGATACCAATCTGTGCCTTTTCCAGCTGGCAATTTGTTCTACAAGACCCCACCCAAATAGCCCCCAAAAGCATACTCTCAAAGCCCTGACCAGAGTGCCCCTCAGCCTGTCAGCCTCTTAATAGGTATCAGGCCTGCCACATCTATGACCAGTAAATACATTAGAAGGTGCTGACATAACAAATGAATCATCAAATACACAGGTGAATAAATGACACAGTGGCAACCCATCACCAAAACCACTGAAATGCTCTCCATTGGGAATTAAATATTACCCAGAATTGATCCACCAGTAGACTACATCCAAGTCAACTCTGTCCCACATCTTCACCCCAAGTCCCCAGCAATGATTTCCTTTCATTTTTTAGGAAATTCACCCACAGCATAAAAGGAAATATACCTATGAGGCCCAGGACATCCTCAGAGACTATAAAGAACTGCCCTATTTGAACCCAGTTCCTCCAAGGACATTTATGGTTGTTTGCAATATGCCAGGGTTCTAACTAAATCCAACCAAAGGCAGTGATTTTCCAAAGCAACAAGTGATGTTTCCTGTGTGTCCATAAAAAGAACACCAGTGGTTGTGGGGCTTTGGTATAATTGCAGGTTCTGCAGACAGCAGGACCAGCCTGAGCTGCCTGCAGATGGGTGTACTCAGAGGCCACCAGGGCTAGGASAGTGGCCACTCACTTGGAGCAGGAGTGCCCTGAGCAGCAATTAGAGCAGAACCCACGGTGGGACTGGGACGGCTTCAGATGTCTGGCCAGCACAGTCAACCTGACCACCACACACCAAATCCAAAAYAGAAAACTGCAGTGGCTTCTGCCATGTGCCAGGCCCCCAGCAGCCAGACAGCACCGCCAATGTCAGTCTCTTCCCTGAGCATTGATCCAGGCTTTCTTCCTCTGGGCCCCTGGAAGCAAGTGAATTTCCCAGCCATACTGAGTGGCCCAGCAGTCCTAAAAGGAGCCCTCCCCTAGCCTATCTCCTACCCTTCAGGGATTGTCCCCAAAAGACCAAGCAGTCCTTGGGCACTAGAACCTTCATTTCCAAATTCTCCCCTTGGCTCTAAATAGAGAAAATTGACTTTTGAAATTACCAACTAGAGTTCATCAGGAAACCACAGTATAAAACTCAGTGGCTCCAGGTCAGTCAAGGGGCAGAAGACTAACAGGGTATTTCAACACCAATGCCTGCTCCCTGGCTGATGTCCTCTGGATACACAGAAGACTGCCAAACCACATGCCTACCACACACATATCACACATGATAAGATGCACAGGCATACACTCAACAGATGCCCTGACACAACCATGAGCACAAACCCCTCATATGAATATGCACGAAAGACAATGCACATTCACATATTCACACAGGTACACACCTAGAAAAAAGTACTGACATTCCAAAACACATGTGTGAATGCACACACTCACTGAAATACACAAACATGTATCAACCTATCTGGATGCAAGACACAGAGGTGCAGGTAGACTTAAGGGAAATGCACACTCTACTACTTGGTAAGGGCTTTGGGGAGACCCACACACACACAGCTTTGCATAAATGAGCCCCCTTTCAAACTAATCAATACAACTTGCCCTTCAGCCAACCCCAGAGAAGATTCTCAGCGCAGGACTTGCACTCCCAGGAGATTCCCAGCAACCAGTTTCCAAAACCCACGCAAGGGCGGAAAACTGAAAGGAGCAAGACCCTACTCACCAGTCCATCGCAGTTACTGAGCGCCACTGAGGAGGCTTTAGCTAAGCCGGCCACGTCGCCAACGTACAGGCAGGTCCCAAGCAGGGGTTCCACTCGGGTTGCACCCGTCTCACCCTGCCACTCCACAGTAGCCCCGGGAGCCACCAGGCGGGCATTGGGCCGAAGTCGCAGGTGCAGGTCTCGGCCAAAGACCGTGACATTGTAGAACAAGCGGTCGCTAGGGTCTTCCTCACTGCCACCTGGGAAGCCMGAGGTTTGGACAGGGGCGGCCCTGCGAGCTCGTACCCCCGCTCCGGTCGTCGCCGCCGACACCACGTGGGACACCAAGCGTCCCTGGGCGTCAGTGCGCACCGGCACCGCCAGGAAGCGCTCCGCTCCGTGCCCCAGGGGCCCACCTGCAACGGGAAGGGACGTTAGACTGGACGAGAACTCCCCGGCGGCAGCGGAACCCTGCATCCCCTAGCCCTCGCCTCAATGCGAAGGGATGGGGCATTTCACCACAAAGCCCCCAGAAGCTAGCCTGCACCTCCCGGCTTTCTAGCAAACGGGAAGGGGCGTTAACAGCACCACCACTCCGGAGCCACGCCGCCACCCAGCCATCCCCCTCGAGGGTCATGCCAGCTAAGAGATCTGTCCCCTGTCCTGTTCCGGGCTGGGACTCCGCCGGTACCTCGCGGTTCGTTAGGTGACAACCCCATCGGGGCGTCCCCTGCCCCTTGAACCTACCGTCCTTGGCAGGACATGGGGCTGATCGGAAGACATTCTCGGTGGGTCCCCTACCCGTGCGCCTCGACCCTTCGGCTGCCCCTGCTGATCAATTAGCCTCACCGCTAGCCTCCGAAACAGCTTCCCCGAGTACGGGCGGCCTTCCTCTGAGTCCAGCTCCACGGTAGCCCGCTGCCAGCCCCCTCTTCCCGCGCGTCCAAGGACAGGGAGGAGTGTAACAGGGTCCCACGAGTCTCCGGGGATCCCCTCCGGGGCGCCTCAACCAATCCCCAGGGCCCAAGGCGGTGCGCTCAGCACCGGCTCCTCCCGAGCGTCCCCGGACGCGAGCGAGCACCGGCGCCGCCTCGCCCTGGCTCCCCTGGACCCGCTGGAGCTAGCTCTGCGCTCTCTACCGCGGGGCTTTCCCGTCCCTCCAAGCCCTTGCTCCGCATCTCCGAAGCCGCGAGTGCTCCGAGGCTCCCCGTGGCCCAAGGCACCAGGTTGCACCGCTGGGCGCCCCCTGTGCGACCAACGCGGCCCCGAAGTTGGCCAACTTGGCCCCGGGCGGGGCGCGCGGAGTTTGCCCAAGTCTAGCTGGACGACGCCTGGGGAGGGGGCGGCGGGGCACGCGGGGCGGAGCCGGGCGGACGCGGATTGCTGGGCGTGGGGGCTCGGCCGCACCTACCTGGGGGGTCGGCGGCAGCGGCGAGTCCGGCGTTTGCGGGCGGCGGCGGCAGCAGCAGGAGAAGCAGCAGCAGCAGCAGCAGCGCGGGGCAGAGCAGGCGGCGAGCGGCTCCCGCCGGCGGATCCATGGCAGCCGGACCGCAGCCAGGGCCCCGCACTCACAGCCGGCGCGAAAGTTCCCCGCGCGCCGCCCAGCCCACATCTGGGGGCAGCTGGAGCCGCCCGCAGCTGCAGCACCGCAGGGCGCGGGGCGGAGGAGGCGAGGCGCGGAGGAGAGGGCGGGGGAGCGTGGAGGGAAGGCGGGGAGAGCGAAGGAGCGAGCGAGTGAGGGAGGCGGGAGGGAGGGAGAAGGAGAGCGAGGGGGAGGGCGGGGACGGCGGGCGCCTCAGCCTGCGGTGACCCGGCGCTTCTTGGCGCGGCCGCCGCCGCCGCCGCCGCCGCCGCCGCCCGCTCCCCTCCTTGCGCCGCCGCCGCCGCCGCGGTTCTCGGCTCACAGAGAAGCAGAGACACCCCGAGGCGGCTGCAGAGAAGCGCTGCGTGTAGGGCTGAAGTAGCCCTGCCTCCGGCCACCCTCTGCGAGCCCCAAGCCCTCGCGGCGCACCACCTCGGAGGAGTGGCATGGGCAGAGCATCCACCTAGGGAGCCCTCGGGGGCGCCTGGATTCCACCAGCCAGCCCTGAGACTCAAGGGGCCGTTTCACCTTTCTGGAACCCAGGGCAGGACAGGACACGGGAATGAAAGAGGAAGGGATGCTGATTACGGGGTCCAGGGGATTGAGTCAGGCCTGATGCCCAGATCGAGGCCCCAAGATCCCCCAAATATCAACTTTTGCCCTTACTGTGAAAGACAAGGTTCCCGCAGTCCGCACCTCCTTTCTGTCCCTTCGCCTTCCATCGGTCTTTCCATCCCTCTATTGCAACTTCTGATCACAGCTTCTTCCTGTCAGACTTGGCCCTCCCTCCTAGAGCTCAGGTTTCTACCCTTAACTGCCCCCATTGGGTCTGTGTATTCCCCAGCCCCCTCCTGAAATGGCCTGTCAGCATTCTGCCCACCTTTCCAGATGAGCATCCAAGGGCGTCTCAGTTCATCCTGGGCAAGTTTGCTGTCAGCGCCCTTTGCCAACTGGAATCCCTCCTCTCCAGCAAGGTCCTGGTGTTCCCATTTACTAGAATCACTATCCTATCAGAACTGCTATCCCTCTGCATAGTGACACCTCCCCAAGTTGTTCCTTGATACTCTCCTCAGGAATGTGTCTGGTGGAACATCTGGGCAATGTGATCCCGACTTCTGCTTCATTTTCCCGGACAGTAGACACCTGTCCATTCCAGCTTCTCATTCAACCTGCCCCAGCCCTGTGTGACCAGGGTTTTGGCCTTGGCCTTGGCCTTGGCCAGAGGCAAAGGACATACAGGTGATTCAGTACCCTCCCTGCTGGCCAGGAGGACCCAATCTTTTTTTTTTTTTAATATTTATTTTTTAGTTGTAGTTGGACACAACTTATTTATTTATTTATTTATTTATTTATTTATTTATTTTTATGTGGCACTGAGGATCCAACCCAGGGCCTCGCACATGCTAGGCGTATGCTCCACCACTGAGCCACAACCCCAGCCCCAGGAGGACCCAGTCTTATGGGGAAACACGACTTGCACAACTGGCTGTTGCTGTGATTTGGTACCCTTGGTTCTGTCATTTCTGGGACCTAGATGTGAGGGCACTGCAGCTTAATAGCCCTCTTCACCTAGAAGCTTCTCTGTCTCTCTCTCTCTCTCTCTCTCTCTCTCTCTCTCTCTCTCTCTCTCTTCCACCTGAGGATGCCTGAAGCTAGATCTGACCCTGAGGCACAGCAGACATTTGTTGTCAACATTTTAAAAAATGGTGAGATGTCACATAAAAATTTAGATTTCTAACTTTTCTTGAGAAATTGCAAGGTGTGGGTGGCCACACGCTGGGCCCACATTTTTGCTTAGCCACCATTAAATAGGGCACTTATCCTGCAGTTTGTTGAAGATCCCCTCCCCTGATACTCCTACCCCATAGGCATGGCTCTTGTGACCTCTAATGACCCAGCTGGTTCCAGGCAAAGTTGGAGCTGGAATCCCTGTGTATCAGAAGAGAGATGACTCAACCCATGTTTTTTAAGGCAGGAGGATTGCAAGTTCCAGGCCAGCCTGGACAATTTAGAGGGAACTGCCTCTGATTAAAAAATAATAAGGGATGGGGATGTAGTTGATTGGGAGAGTATCCCTGCATTTAATCCCCAGTATTTAAAAAAAAAAGAGAGAGAGAGAGAGAGAGAAAGGAAAAGAAAGAAGAGAGATGACCCCAGAGTCAGGCATCCCGGAGGACATCCCCAAAGAAGTGGCATGAGTTGAATCTTGAAGGCAGGGGACCCAGAGTTGGGTTTAGCCAGGTGCTGTCCTGGAATATAGTGATGTGTTCTCCTGTGATGGTCCTTGCTTCTATCCTCAAAAGAAGAATGAAACCCCACCAGCAACTTTACCTACTTCAAGGGTCACATTCCACCACCTCACTTATTTCTCTGCCATGCTTTTAGTCATTGCCATATTTTCCAACCACCACTACCACTATGCCTTTATGTAGCACTCAATAATTTACTTAAAATATAAAAGGGGGCTGGGGTTGTGGCTCAGTGGCAGAGCGCTTGCCTCACATATGTGGGGCACTGGGTTCAATCCTCAGCACCACATAAAAATAAATAAACAAAATAAAGATATTGGGTCGATGTATAACTAAAAAAATTTTTAAAAAATTTAAAAGGACACTTCAAATCACTACCACCTCTGGAAAAGCCAATATCTCACCATCTTGCCATAAATCGATAGTAACTGCCCCCGCCCCACATAAATAAAATGAAAAGAAAATAACATCATCAGATTCTAGCTACTAGTGTCTGCAAAAGGCACTGAGGTTGAAGCTGATTAGCAAGTGTTACTGAAGTGTTGAGACAGACTAGCACGAGCAGAAATCTTTTCTTTGATATAATCAGATATAATATTATATCTCCTTTGCAAGGAGATGACGGCTTCTGACAGACAGATCCATGTAACTGAATTATCTGACACACTTTGGGATGCTTTCTCTAGGATATTTTTTTGGAAAGAAAATTTGTTTCTTTGACTCTCCTGGCAGCTGTTTCTTCCTGTATCCCCCTCAGCTTCCAAGGACTGCATCCAGACAGAGCTCAGACCATGCCCCTCCTCCTCCAGGATCAGTGGAAGTAGATCACCACCTTTAACCAGACCATCCACTAGTCCCCACAATGACACCCCACAGGGTGCCGTGGATAGATCAGGCCCCCATGCATCAAAATGTCTCCCCTTTGTTTCAGGGGAGGAGAGTAAAGACATGTCCCAGCTTCCTGACCTGTTGGCTGCTATAAATAGATAGGTAGGTAGGTAGGTAGATAGATAGATAGATAGATAGATAGATAGATAGATAGATAGATAGATGTCACTTCCTATTTCTTCATACCTTCATGCTTTAAATCTCTTTTCTTTTGGGAAATGTTGCCCCTCCCACTGATGTGTTTGCCTTTTCCTTTTCCTCCTCCGGGTAAAATGTGGGACACAGAAATGCCCTGTTGTTCTTGCCTCAAGTCTTATTCAGCATAGGTCCCAAAGACAAAAACTAAAGACCAAGCCAGCCAACTCAGCTTGAGCACTTGTTTAGTGCATGTGGAGGGTGTTAGTTTTCATCTGATTTTGAACATCTCTAGTTCTGGCTTGAGCTCTTTCACTTGACACACCATTTCCTATAGTCCTATGCCTGCTTCTTGCTCATGATTGTTGCCTGTCCGGCTCCTGAAGTCACTGGAGTTGCAAACCTGATCTACAACAGCCCAGGGTTTGGGAGGAAGAATGAGGACAATTCAAGGTCATCTCAAGTCCTCCAAACACAACCTCCTTAAAATCTTCCCAAGGATAGGGACCTTTCCTGGTGATCTGGGGTGTCAAGAATCACCTCACATACTTTGGGGAGGGATATTAAGAAATGAGAATGTCCCCCCAGGTCTCAGTGGGAGGGATTCCCTTTCTTAATTCTACAGAAGAGGGTCAGGGCTCCCTGCTGTACCCCTGGCTTCAAGCTCACAGCACAGACTTTATTAGAAAAGGAGCCCTCTAGAACTCATTCCTGTCCCCTAATGTCCACACGGAAACTAGCCCTCCAGTAAGTCTTCTACCCCTATTTCAAGGTCTTCTTCCTTGGCAAGGTCTTCCAAGCATATAGGGGCAATGGGATTGCTTTGTCCTCCCTCCAACCAGCAAGTTCCCACAGGTTGTGAGGCAGGATCTAGATTCTTGCAGTCCTGTTGGGACCTATGTGCAGGGTATACCAAGTGTAAGGAGTTAGTGACCTTGTCACGGGGCTTCTGAGAACATCATTTCTGTTCAATTCTGCTGTTGGCAAACAGCAGGTGCAGCAACCAGTCAGATGCTCTGGCAGAGTTCTGGCTGAAAGTGGCCTTGGTAAGCAATATGTCAGGGGAACGCTGATTGAACAGAAAGTGGTGGCCAGTGGCCTTCAGAGAGAGTCATTCTTGTTGTTTCTTGAGCCACCCCACATACACACCCTGACAGAGAGCTGTGTCAGGCAAGAAGAAATGTGGGTGATGATTAAGTGGCAATTTCTTCCATTGTCCTCTTCTACATAGAGGTTTCCTGTCTCTATTGAAATTGGTTCTGCCTGGAAGTGAAAGACAAAGAGTTTGAAGTTTGGAGGCATAGGAATCCAGGCTCAGTCAACACTTCTACATGGAACTATAAGATTGAAGCTTAGATTCATTCTAAGTAATARTGATTGAACTCAATGCCTACCTGTGACTATGCACATACACATRTGCTTAACCTAGCAGAGAAGAATTTTAAAAGGGTTATCTGAATGCAGCAGGCAATGACTTCTTGGGCCCAAATGGGCCAGGCTTAAGATCCCTAAATTCACATGTGTCTGACTTCTCCTAAGGGGTAGGGGCCCAACTGGTCCAGTGTTCCCTTCTGGGAAAGGTATCTGGGTCCCTTAAGATGCTCCTGGTGGCAAGTAACAACCCAGCTTAAACCATAAAGAAATGCAGAATCCCTTATACCAGGGAGTCTGCAGGTATGGCAGCTCCAGAACTAGACCATGGACCATGAGGGCCCTGCCTTATGGGTATCATCTTTCTCCCTGACAATTTAGAAGAATAGCCAAAACACAGGTGTCTTACTGTTCC